AGAAGACACAATAAAGGTTAGCTTTGCTTTAGAGACTGAAGAAAACACTGCTTCAAGACCACCACATTACAGACTATAAAGTCCAGATGTGTAGAAGTAACGCAGACAGCTGCCATTTACCTCCATGTTGCCCGAAAATATCCATGCAGTAGTACTACTAGTAAAAGTAATTCGTTTCAGTTCATACTCTGAGTACTTTACATACATACTCATTTCATCTTGCTACAAACCCTATGAGGTATATATTATTTCCATCCCTATTTTACCGATTAAGAAACAGAGCATAGAAGTAAATTGCCAGGATTGCACAACTATTAATTGTAGGAACTGGAATTTGAACATGGACATTCTGTCTCCAGAGACTGTTTTTAATCTCAGGGGTTGGCAAACTTTTTGTAAAGTAAATATTATTTTAAAAATCCTTTAAAAATGTAGAACCAATCGTAGCTCACAGGAGGTTATAAAAACAAGTTGCAGGCCCACTGTCGCTTGTGGGCCATTTGTAATCTGCTAGGTAATACTGTACAGGTTGATCAAACTTTTAAGCACACAGTGGATATGCTATCCCATACTCCTTTAAGGCAAACCCTACATGCCTATAATAGGATTTCTGTTGACACACAGTCCTGATGTCCACAGTCCTGACATCATCTCTCTCATTTTGTCTGAATTTATGAAGCTTGGTTGCCTTTTCCATCAGCCTTCCTTCAAATTAGTAATGCTGTTGGACATTTAAGAAAGGACTATATGGATAGTATAAGAGCTTATTTTCCATTCACTTTCAACCTGTTATTGGCTTTTTCTCAGTTACTGGGTGTATTATTATTCAGGGAAGTGACTTTAGGCACTATGGCATCAGACTGGAGTCAGTTCTTTCTTTGATTAACTAGAAATAAAAGCATAAAATAAGATGCAGTTTCTCTAAAGTTTTAAGATTGTCACTTTTCTGGGACTTAACCTGACATTAATTGACAGTTCTGCTAGTAGAAATTTATCAGCAACCTGGCATCTAATCCTTTATCATTTTCACTAAAGCTTAAAATGGTTTATAAAGAGACATGGTTCATGAAATGGATTAATATCACAATGGAAGCTCATGCTTCTAGGTATCTGCTATATATTGATACTTGGAGATGCAAAACATTATCACAGCATTTTAAGCTAGGCTGCACATGAAGGAACCACTATGAGTTATTATATTTGCTAGGGGTGAAATTTTGGGCTTGCAAATAAATCTTGATTTTTTTTTTAACACTTATGTAGTTCATGAAGTCTAACTTAGCTTCATGTAATGAGTGTGAGGAAATCATTGCATCGGTTATTTGAATTTGAAACAAGAGGAAACTTATAAAAGAGTTTTTCAATTTATGTTGACAAGTCATATTAAAATACAGACAAAAAATTAACTCATGATACAGTACATATCTATCTACACACATTATGTAAAACTGAAACAAAAGTTTCAGAGTCAATACTACTGTAACTACATTTAAGACATTTTTGTAAAAAAAAAAAGACATTTTTGTTATTTTCTTATCTATTCTATGCCATTTGATTTTTTAATGCTTTTTACTACCACTAAATTGATTTATTACCACTAACTTATTAATGGCTCCTGACTTAGTCTGCAAAATACTTCCTTAGAAGACCCATGTTCTCACATGGCTCTTGTTTATAAGAAGCAATTGTTTGGGGGTTCTTCTCTATTTTTACAGCTTACTTTGATTTATTTGCCAAATAAATAAATGTGTAAATCACTGTACCAGGCTCTATGGGAAGTACAAAGACATGCCTTCAACTATTTCAAGTCAGGAATTTTCTGAGTTGCCAGGAAAACAAAGGTGAAACAAAGATTACTAAACAACATATAATCTCTGCCCTCACAGAGTTTCTGATGTAGCAAATAAAATAAACTCAGTACCAAGGAGTTTGAGAAGATTACACAGTCAAGTGAATGACTTAAGTAAATAGTTTTATTAGCATTTTTCCATATAAAAGGGTATTTTCTTGTCTAGAAGGGTCAGTCCCTTTTTTTGTTTTTAAAGATGAGAAAATAAAGACTCAGAATCTTAAAGGCTTAAAGACTTAAATATAAGACAAGATATCATGAAACTCCTAGAAGAGAACATAGGGAAAACATCCTCTGACATAAAGTGTACCAATGTTTTAAGATAGTCTTCCAAGGCAGCAGAAATAAAAGCAAAAATAAGCAAATGGGACTTAATCAAACTTACAAAGTTTTGCACAGCAAAGGAAACCATAAACAAAACAAAAGACAGCCTACAGACTAGAAGAAAATATTTGTAAACAATGCGACTGGCAAGGGCTTCATTTCCAAAACAGACAGCTTGTACAACTCAACAAGAAGAAAACCAAACAACCCAATCAAAACATTGACAGGAGACATTAACAGACATTTCTCCAACAAAGACATACAAATGTCCAATAGGCACATGTCAAAGTGCTCATCATCACTAATTCTTAGACAAATGCAAGTCAAAACTACAAAGAGAGACCAAAAACCAGTCAGAATGGTTGTTATTAAAAAGTTTATTTATGCAAAGAGCTAATTTACTGGAAAAGACCCTAATGCTGGGAAAGACTGAGGGCAAGAGGAGAAGGGGGTGATGGACTATAAGATGTTTGGATGGCATCACTGACTCAACCGACATGAATTTGAACAAACTCAGGGAAATAGTGAAGGACAGGGAAGCCTGGCATGCTGTGGTTCATAGAGTAGCAGAGAATTGGACCCAACTTGGTGACTGAACAACTACAAACAACAAATGCTAGATGGGGTGTGGAGAAAAAGGAATTCTTTTACACTACTGGTGGGAATATAAATTGGTGCAGCCACTATGGAAAACAGTATAAAGGTTCCTGAAAATACAGAGTTGTCATATGATCCAGTAATCCCATGCCTGGGCATACATCCAGACAAAACTGTAGTTCTAAAAGATATAGGCAACCTTATGTTCATAGCAGCACTATTTACAATAGTCAAGACATGGAAGCAATCTAAATGTCCATTAACAGAGGACTGGATAAAGAAGATGTGGTATACTTATACAATGGAATATTACTCAGATTTAAAAAAGAATGAAATAATGCCATCTGCAGAAACATTGATGGACTATATATCAGACTAAGTCAAGTAAGTCAGACAAAGATGATCATATGATATCACTTATATGTGGAATCTTTTAAAAAGTGATATAAATGAACATATTTATGAAAGAGAAACAGACTCAGACAGAGAAAACAGACTTGTGGTTGCCAAGGGGGAAGAGTAGGAGTGGGAGGGATGGATTGGGAGTTTGGGATTAGCAGATGCAAGCTATTTTACATATAATGGATAAACAACAAGGTCCTACTGCAGTACGGAATACTATATTCAATATTATGTGACAAACCATAATAGAAAAAATATGAAAAATATGGAGAGATGTACAACTGAATCATACTACTGTACAGGAGAAATTAACATGCCACTTTAAATCAACTATAATTTAATAAAATATTAAAAAATACTTTGTCATTTATCAGAGTTACACCACTCTTTTCAGGTTAAATCCAGAATTATTTGTGATAGACATGCTGTCTCACATAATTAAATGGGGTTTTTTTTGCTGAAATAAAGTGATTTGTGTGTTAAGTAATGATTATAAAGTCACATTATAAAAATATTTCAACCTTGAGAAAGCTTGGAAGATGAGTGGTTCCGTTACTCATCTTTCTTTCCTTCAAAAGGAGCTAATCCGATTAATTTTAAAATCAATAAATCATGACTTTTAAAGAAAAGAATAGAACCTTTTAGTATTTTGCAATTTTTTCTGATTTAATTCTTAAAAGCCCTCATTTGGAATTTTACTCATCTAAATCCCTATTTCAAAAACCACAAAAGATAGTGGACATTTTCTCAAGATCATCAAGGCACATAACCAAAGCTTGTCACCTTTCTGGGAGAATCTATGCTTTGTTCTCTTCACCAACCATTTCTTGAGCACTGACCCAAGAGACCACGCTATCATAAACTAAATATTTATTGCTTCTGACTCCTGGAAGGAAACGTTTTCTTTTTTTTTTAAGTTGACATATAGTTTATTTAAAATGTATTAGTTTCAAGTATAAAACATAGTGATTTAACTTTTTCTTTTAAACATAGTGATTTAACATTTTTATAGATTATATTTCATTTAAAGTTAAGGGGTGGAAATGGGAATTTTTTTTTTTTTTTTTTTGGCCACGTCATGTGGCATATGGGATCTTAGTTCTGTAATCAGGGATCAAACCCGAGTGCCCTGCAGTGGAAGGGCGGAATCCTAAGCACTGGACTGCCAGGAATTCCCTCAGGGTGGAATATTTAAATGGCAGATGTAAAAGTTCATCCCAACTTCAAATGAATTTTATCAAATAGACTTTAATGCTCATATTTATTCTCCTCTGTTAGATATTCATGCCTTGGGGATCAACTCATTGTATAAACTTACATGTGTAATAGTTTCTTACTTGGGAAAATTGAAATCATTTTGATACATGAAGGAGTGGTTGTAATGAGAAAACAGATAAGGAGAAGATGTTTAAAGTGCAGGCCTTCAGTGGCAATGTATGCACAGAGGACCAGGTCCTGGACACCTATGTGAAACCCCTGTTATGCACACTTAGATCCCCACGGCTTCTGTCTTTCTTAACATTCAGTAAGAGTTTTAATTGTCCATTCATTTAGTGACTATTTAACCTGTCAGAGTCTCTCTATGGAGCCCTCACTGGACCACAGTCTCTGAAAAGTAGAGACTCAATTTCTCTGTTACTACTATAGTACTAAGCACTGTGATTAAGTGTCTAAGAAATGTCTACAAATGAATGAATGGTCATGTTAAAGTAGTCTAGAATGTTGTTTACATAAGGTACTTAAGTTTAGTTCAATCTTTATATATTACTCATTATTTACTAAAGAGCAACTGAATTACTCATGGTGTTCTTTTTGTTTTACAGTCAACTTTGACCACTTTGAAATTTTGCGAGCCATTGGAAAAGGCAGTTTCGGGAAGGTAAGAACCAAAATGATTAACCACTAGCAGAGTATGTAGTTCAGAGAGCCCAGGAATGTTCAGATGAGTTACTGGGACCACAATAAATATGAGATGTTTTTATAATGAGTTTTTATAAAAGTATTACCACACTTTGAACAAAGTATGTGACAGGCAGCTACATAACAAACATGTATGCTTTCAGCATTATCTCAAAGTCAAATCGGTTTACTCACTGGAGTTTCACACTTTCTCTATGGTAACAGGAAGAGTAAGGTTTCATAATCATTTTCAAATTGTACCAGTACTTTCAGTAACAGTTATCTTGTCAGTGTAAGAATTAAATCTTTCCATGAAGGATAGAAGCTGATTTCTGTTTTCCTCAGTTGTACCATATTTTTTTCTTTTTTAAAGACCTACTGGTAAAAAAAAAAACCCTAGCATAAAACATACACATTCAGTCTAATTTTTTAAAAGAATCTTCCAGATTCAAATCCTGATTAGCTTCTTTACGGAGACAAACTTAACAGAATATCTCGTATTTCATATTGAACTTGCATTTTAGAATCACCTGCTGTCGACTTTATCTGGCATTATATGAACCTCTTAAAGAATTTTATAAATATGGACATCATAGTGTTTTTCCCAGTGCTTCAAGTCCTTTTTGGTTATATCACTTGTGGTTGCTAAAAGAAGTTCTTTGCACAATATTGTTCATTTTAACATTGAGTCATGCCCATTTCACTCACTAAAATCTGGATAAAAATGTCATTTGTTATGATTCCTGACAAGGAGGAAGTTATTTTTCCCCCAATATGTTGTCTTAAAAATCCCCAAAAGCAAAAACAAGCAAACTTGTCTGAGAAAGCAGAGATTTAGAAGTTGAATTGGTACAGGGGAAGGAAAAAGAAATCAGAGCTAAGTGGCAACTTTAACATCAAAGAATTTGCACGACAGGGCCTCCAAGCGGTGCTAACCAGTCTTGTTCTGTCTCATGCCCACGATCCATCACCTCCCTAATCACATTCTCACTCCGGTTGGCACCATTAGGTTTGCATCGTACAGAAGAATGATACCAAAAAGATGTACGCGATGAAGTACATGAACAAACAAAAGTGCGTGGAGCGCAACGAAGTGAGGAATGTCTTCAAGGAGCTCCAGATCATGCAGGGACTGGAGCACCCTTTCCTGGTTAATTTGTGGTGAGTGGTTTTCCTGGACATTTAATGGGACAGTCCTGCCTTCACTTCCAACCCTGTTACATAAACACACCCTGATTTCTACGTGTACAACCCTCATTAGGATCTTTGTGGGACTTTCATTTGCCTCGGTTTGTCTTTCTAAAGAAACGAAATTGTTATAAATACTGTTCAGTTCTGTTGCTATATATCCCCTTGTCCTTGAGGTTGGTATTCTTTTAAAGCAGGGGTCCCCAACCCCTGGTTAGGAACAGGGCCACCCAGTAGGAGGTGAGTGAGCTTGACCTGTATTTACAGTATTTACAGCCACTCCCCATTGTGCACATTACTGGGAGCTCCTCCTCCTGACAGATCAGCATTAGATTCTCATAGGAGCATGAACCAATCTACGCTTGAATCTTCCCCAAACCATTTCCCGCCACCCACTTCTGTGGAAAAATTGTCTTCTACTAAACCAGTTCTTGGGCTTCCCTGCTGGCTCAGTGGTAAAGGATCTGCCTGCAATGCAGGTAACCCGGGTTCGATCCCTGAGTCGGGAAGATCCCCTGGAGGAGGGCATGACAACCCACTCCAGTATTCTTGCCTGGAGAATCCCATGAACAGAGGAGCCTGGCGGGCTATAGTCCATAGGGTCGCAGAGACTCAGAAGTGACTAAGCAGCCCTAAACTGGTCCCTGGTGCCAAACAGATTGGGGACTGCTATTTGAAGCACTGTTATTTAATAGGCTGACAAGGAATGAGTTCAGATGTCTTCTCACTCATTACATCTTTTTCCCTATAATTGTGGGGCAGGGACTTTGAGTGCAAAGTATGGCATCGCTGGTGGACATGAAGTTGATTGTTAGTACTTGTACAAAGCACCTTCTCCTTAAAATGATGGGCAAGCAACCTGATTTCCTTGCAGCATACTTCTTAAGCAACCATATACACACCCATGATTTGGAAAAAGGTGGGTGCTGCCTTTCTTCCCAAACCAGCTTTAACACAACTGGAGCTAATTTATGTCAGTAGCTAGACATTAAATGACTGATCTGCTCTCAAAGCCATTATCATAATCCAAGGCTTAGAAGATGGCAGAGAGGCTTGCATTATCTATTACTTCGAGGTCTTTATGTGGCTGGCTCATTTTCCTCTACATTTTAATGCATCCATTATATTAGGAGCCAGTTCTTAAAGCTAATGCAGTATGACTGTTATTTAAATATGCATACCAAGCAGTTCTTACTAGTGAAGGAAAAAAAAACACAAAATTTTTTCCCCTTTTTAGTCAGAGAATACTAATGGAAAAATCATTGAAATGTCACTGTGTGTTTAGGGAGATTCTATGGAGGAATCAGTGCATAAAGCCTGTCTCCATCTTTAATTAATACAGCTCACTTCATACACAATTTGCTCAAAGACTCTGTGCTGCAGTTGAAAAGAAGATGGTTGTGTGTGACTTGGAAATAGGTCTATTAGAGTTTATGCATACCTCAGACATAGAGAAGCTAATTTTAAGTACAGCTTCGGTGTATTTAATCAGCATTTTAGAGCGGCCTATTCACAATGCTGCCATGTAAAGAGTTAAACGGATGCAGCTCTTTCTTTCCCATTCTTAACAATCATCAAATTGCCTTTTTTCCTCTCTCTTCACAATGATGAACCTCCTTTTGTTCAGAGTCACATTGTCCTTCTTCAAAAGTTCAAGCAACTAATTTTCTTCCTTTAAGACCAGGAACCCTTCATAAGGACACACTTAGCATTATACTCTCTCACGCTTGTCTCCCATCGCTGAGTAGGTCAAGTTGATTTCACTCAATTCCCCCCTTTTTAAATAACATGAGTGTTATGAGACTTGAAGCTGACCAAAGCTTATAGATTTTGCTTTGCTTACTTGGTGTCATTCTAGACGACATTCTCTTCTCCATGCATGTGATAACAGGACATAAATTCTACTCTGCCCTTCTTCTCACCCTGACACTGAATCCTGCGTTAGAACCTGGGGCTCCATTAACACTGATAGAAGAGAGAAGAGTTTTCTTACCCTATGATTCTAGCACCACATTCAGTATTGGAACCTGGGAGGGAGCATTCCTAAACAGAGCGGCCCTTTTGTCCTTCAAACCTTGAGATAAGTCTTTAGAAAGCATCTTTATTCCTTCTAATAAATGCCTTAATTAGTATAGCATAGTAAATATAAGTGTCTCTTTCCACAACTCTTAAGTACCTTGTAATATTTCAGGAGGTGTGGTTATGAGTAACTTACTTCATAATTCTTAAGTCTCATTGTTAGAATGGGTTAATGTGTGCAACCAGTGCCCAGAATATAGTCTGCATCTTACAAATGGTAGTTCTTACCTTGCTCCATTAAGTCATAGTATTCTGAACGTGCCCAGAACCAATGGCCATTGTGGACCCCAGAAGACAACTTTGAAGGGTACTTGGCCCCACGGCATCATGGCTGTGTGGTGGCACTCACATGCCAACTCATTCCCTATAAAAGCTTATGCTTATTTTTTTTCCACCTTTATTCTGTGAATCAAAGAAACAAAGCTCTCCAGTGTGTTATATACAATTTAATCAGATTTTTATGTCCTGGGTTTAACTAGACTGAGCTTTACAGCCCCAAAACTTCAGGAGTTGGTTTTTTTAAGAAGCATCATATGATAAAATTACAGCAATATTTTCTTTAAAAAATTCCTCTGTACCCATTTATGTATTCTGTTTTGCTGATATGCTCTGTAGGCCTGTCAATACTACTTATAATAATCTTCTCATGGATGCTCAAAATGTCCTTGTCCTCTGGGGATGTTCAGAAAATTCTGGTTTTCAGGATGAAGGAAAACACAAGGTTTTGCACTAATGTTAAGAAGTTGGCTTATGAATATACTGATATAAACATATACACATATTACATTTGAAAGCATTTCCACTCATGGAAGCTTGAAAAGCAGAAGATCACATAGAAAAATGAAAACTCTCCAATAATCCTATCACCTTGAAACGACCACTCCCAACAGTGTGTACTTTCCAGTAAAATATCTGTATTTGACAATGCATGAGTCCCATTCCTTCCTTCTTTCATGTATAGATTTCCTGAGCACCACAATTTATAATTAGGGTTGCCAGACACAATCCAGGATGCAAATTAGATTTGAATTTCAGATAAATAACCAGTACCTTTTGGTATATATCCCAAGTATCATACAGGACATTTTTAACTGAAATAGAAATTCAGATAATGAGTGAGTTTAAATGGGCATCTTGTATTTCCTCACTCTGGGGACCCTAATTGTAACACAGATCCATACCGTGGGGATGCAGTGGTGAGCACAAGTAGATAAACCTGCTCACCCACACATTACCAGTAACCATGAGAGGATGCTATTAATCAGAAGGCACATGAATATATCAACTGTGAGAAGTGCATGGAGGGTCTAAATGCACCTACAGGTTTCAGGGGAGAGGGGAAGAAGGTCATTAATCCCAGAGCAGCAGTGTTAAGGGTGGAAGAAACTGCTGAATTAAAATCCAACCTCCCCAGCCTCCGAAGACTTGGCCCCACCCAGAACACAGTCATCAGATAAAGGTTATGTTACAAAGTGAAGGCTGCCATTCAGGGCTGGTATCCAAGAAAAGCAAATACCTTCTTCCCTGGAGCCCCTCCCAGGGGCCTCTAACAAAGCCCTGGCAACTCATAGCCGAGAACCAATCGCCCCAGACCTGCCCAGCACAGATCCCCAAGTGGCTTTTGTTAATTGGAATTAAGCCTGCAGCTGCACACAGCCGCTCCTCTGCTCTCCTAGCCTGGCTCTCCTGTTCCAGTGAGCTCCCAAGGGTCTGCGTGTGGTTTCAGGAAATGAGGAGAGGAGATTGTCTGTATTAAGTGAAAAGGACCATTTGTCCTGGGAGTGCGAAAAGGGAGCCCTGGGAGATGGCTCAACACAGCCGCACGAATGGGTTCCCTGGAACCAGACTCCATTGTCTGTGACTCAGAGCCCTGGCACCTGTCACAGAATCAGAGACCCTGAGAACGCAGGGTGGCCTTCAGAGTCCCGGTATCAACATAATAGCTCCTATTACTTTGGGTTTCACAGATATGATGTTATGTATTCATCCCAGCAACCTATGTGGATAGAGATTATTTTTCCCATTTTACACCTGGAGAAACGGAGGCTGAGAGAGGTTAAGCCACGCCCCAGAGTCTCACAGCCAGGACTCAAACCCAGGAATCCCGACTTCAAGGCCCCTGCTCTTCCTGCTGAACTCTCCCCTCCACTATGGACATCTTGGGAGACTCTCTTGCAAAATATGTAAGGAAATTCGATTGATTTTGTCGCTCATTCTCCACACCCCACAAGAATACAGATTCCATAAGGCAGGTTTGTCCACTGCTCACTCTCCTGCTCCTTATAGTAATGGTGGCCACCTCACAGGAAGGGCTGAATAAATCTCTGTTGAATCAACAAATCAATGAGCGAACAAAGTGAATTAGCAGAGGGACTAGGCTTTTGGCTCCTTTTTTCCCACTCTTTTCCCATCACGCCTCTGCCACATCTCCCACACTCACCAGCAGCCCCATATTGTCATGCCTGTTCCAGGTTCTTTCTTGGCCCTGAGGTCAGAGGGAGAGGAGTTTGAATCCATCTCACCACTTGTTAACTATGTAAATGAAGCAATTTACATTTTGTATGTTGCTTGGTTTCTTCATCTATAACTGGGAATGACGGCAATCTCCATAGCAGAAGGTACTACTTATGAATAAGAACATGTATATAAAGCATCTCAGACACAGTAAACGTTTAATATCTGCTTTAAACAAACAACTCTGAGGCCCCTCCCAGAAATGAAATGACTCCTTTCCCCCTAAAGTGAAGGCTGCCATTCAGGGCTGGTATCCAAGAAAAGCAAATACCTTCTTCCCTGGAGCCCCTCCCAGGGGCCTCTAACAAAGCCCTGGCAACTCATAGCCGAGAACCAATCGCCCCAGACCTGCCCAGCACAGATCCCCAAGTGGCTTTTGT